AGGTAGAACCTGCTTTATAAAAAGAATTATTAATCTTAATCTAAAAATAATTTATAAATATTTTATTTCTAATAATAAAAGACTTAATTAAAAAAAAATCTTAATTTAAATTTTAAAATATATAGAATTATCTTAGATTTAATACCTGTATTATATTAAGTTCAAAAGATTCTAATAATTAAGCTAGTATAGAGATAACTGACTGAACTATTTAAAAAAATTTATTTAAAAAGATATTTATCTCCTAGTCTATGATAACATGAGTATATATTATAGAAATTTTATATTTAAAGAATAGTAATCCTGAGTTACAAGAAATAATCTTATATTTATAGAATAAAGATCCAGAAATATAATAATAAAAAACTATTATTTAATAAAAATAACCAGACTAAAAATATTAGATAGTAAGGATTACTAGTTATTTATATTTTAAAAACTGTTATTATATCTTTTTTTCTGAGATATTATACCAGATACTTATTTATTTATATTATAATAATTTACTAGTAGAACACTTTAGAAAAACAAGAATAAAAATATTATTATATAAAAAGTTTTACTGGAATAGATTATATCATGACATAACTGAATATATTTAAATTTATTTAATATATTAAGATAATATTATTTTAAAATATTAATTATATAGCATCCTTGAATTCCTACTAATTTTATTTTATTTTTTTAATAAATTAGTAATAGATTTCATTATAGAACTATTTTTAATTATTTAATATAGAAAAACTATTAATGCTATTCTTGTTATTATTAATTAATTTTTAAAATATTATTTTTTCTTTATTTTTTTATTTATAATAACTACCCCAGATCTTGCAGAATTATTTTATAAATAAATAGAATTAATCTTTAGATTATTATCAGGTATTATATCTAATTAAAAATTAATTTTTATAAATAAATTCTAGTTTTATTTAATATATAATAATTATATAATCTTAAAGTTATTAACTATATTTTATCCTTAAATTAATGGCTAAATAGAATAGATGAATTAAACTCTTAAATATTATCTTTGATATTACTCTAACCAGTTTAACTTTAACTAGCTAATAATATTACTAATTATCTAATTTATTTATAATAATATAAATAATATAATTATAAATATATTTTCTTATTATATCTTATATAATTACTCCCCAGACTTTTATATCAGGATCAGAAATAATTTTTAATAATAAGAGATCCCAGCTGTACAGGATAAGATTAAAAAATTTAAAAAAATAAGAAAACAGTTATAAAAGATATAGTAAATAACTATAGAAAGATAAAAGGAATATTATAATAAATATAAAAAACTATTCTTATTTAAAGAAAAGGATTTAGTTAAGCTATTAATCCAGAACTTATAATTTAAAAAATTAAGAAAATTAATTTTAAAGTTTATAAAATTCTTTTAAATTCTTAAATATATCAGATCCCAAGTATATTACTTATATTTATCTGAGAAATATAAATAAATTTATAATATATTCTATATCTCTCTACTGGAATTGTAAAATATTAATTAAGATTATAAAGAATTATTTCTAATACTAAAGCTAGATAATAAAGATAAATAAAAAATTAAAAAAATTAAGAATTATTAATATTATAATAGCTAGGACTACTATCTGATTAAATAAAAAAAATAATTAAGTAAATATAACTAATAAATTTCTAGTAAAAATATAGAAAATATACCTAAAGCTATATAATAATATTAGAAATCTTATAAGAAACATAATATATTAAAAAATAGAGAATAAATATTAATAAATTATTTTATATTCTCTAAGGATAAGCCAGGGGAATATTAATTTATTAATATTATTTATTAATTTTATTACTACAGATTAAATATATTAATAAATATAAATTATCCTGTTATAAAATAATAGAAAATATTTAAATATATCCAGTCATATCTACTACTTATTTATAAGTTAAATAATAATAATAATTAGATTTCTTTTATAACTTGGAGATATTAACTGGGAAAATTAATTTAAAAAAAAAATATAAAAATCAGTTAATAATTTATTAATATTATTTTTATTATCTAAAGTCTTCTTTAAATTATTAATATCTGGGTACTGAACGGACGCTATAATCTTTATAAAATTAAGAAAGTTTTATAAAATAAAAATCTAATCTATATATCCAGGATTATCTAGTAATAAATATAATAATAATTTTATTTTATAAATATAATAATTTTTAGAAAAAGTACAGAGACCAGAATAAAAAATTAACTAGGTTAATAAAATATAATAAGTTTTAATAAACTTAGTATATTTAATAATAAATTTTTATTAAAATATTAATAATAAGACCATAAAGATCTTATTTCTTGAATTATAATAAAGACTTATATACTTTATAGTTTTAGTACTCTTTAATAAAAATTTATAAGTATAGATATCTTTAATATTATTAAATACTTTTATAAGAATATAGATTTTTTTATAAATAGTTTATTTTATATTATTATCTTAATATTCTTTTTTTAAGATAATAATAATTTATTTAATAATCTTAACAAGATTATAAGTATTTTCTAGAGTGCTAGTTACAGACTTAATAAATATTAATAAATTATATATTTATAATATAGAATATATGAAATCTACTAGATTATAAGTCTTTTTTTCTTTGGAATAGAAGTAATATAAAACAGATATTTTTATATTTAATAAATAATTAATATTATATAAAATATCTTTCTTAGAATTGAAGTTATAATTAATATATTTTAAATAGTATATATAAAAGTTATAACAGACTTTAATAGAAATATTTTATATAAAATATTTTTTTCTCTTAATTATTATAAAGTATTTGAGAATGAGACTGATGCCTGATAATAAAATAATAAAAATAATATAAAATAAATAATTAAATATAATTAAAAGATAAAAAAGACAGTAAAGAAGACTATATACTTTAATATTAAGAAGAAGAAAGCTGTAGAAAAAAAAAATATATAATAAAAATATTATATTTATATCTTAATATATTATAAAAACTCTGCACTCTTATAAACTATCTAATAATAGTAAATATATATAATACTGATAATATTATCTAGAATTCTTATATAATATTATTTCAGCTGTGTATTTTTGGTATCCTTATTTTCTATTATAAATTTACTATTATTCTGAATTAGAAATATATAAGATTATTTTTAATATCTGAACCAGATGGCTCATCCCAGCAGAAAAGAATATTATTTATAATAAAATAATTTAACTGTCAGAGCCTTGGGTATCAAAATAATATATTAAAATAATTATAAGAATTATAAGATTATTAATAGTGGTTCTATAGTTTATTAATATTTATAAAGTATTAATTTCTCTGTAAGGGACTACTGATCTCCTAAGAATCAGTCTATTTCATAGATATAGACTATCTTTGTCTTTATTATATCAATTTACTGTATTTCATGACTGATTCCTTACCTAGTCAACAGGCTTTCTACCCTGACAAGTAGATCCTATCACACAGAATTATAAATTTATATAATAAATTAAGACAAGCAGAGTAAGATTTATAATAATAAGATTTTTATATATATAAAATAAAAAATAAATAATTAAAATAATAAATATAATATTAATTTAAATTTATTAAATAATCTTTATTTTTTATCTCTGCTTTTTATTAATATATTTATTATTATTATTATTATTATTACTACTACTACTAACCACTATATCTGTGTATATATTAGATAATTAAAAATAAATTACTAAGCTTAATTTTTTATCTATTTATTTTATCTTTATTATATAGAATAAAACTGACTTTATAATATATCTATACAGAAATAATAATAATAATTATTATTATTATTATATTAGTATTTTTTTTTTAATATATTTACTAGTTACTGTCCGTCTATCCCTGCTTTTCCTAATCTTAAATAATACTGGATATTATTATATAAAAAACTCCCGGTTAGTACTAATTTTATAATTTTTATAAAAGATCTAGATTAACTAGTATTATTTATATATATTAATATAGAACTGCAAATATTTGCCTGGCTAAAAATATAATTTATTAAATTCTGATATAACTGGATTTATACTTATTAAATTATAATATATTAAATAAATTATATTAATATTTTATTAATATAATCTTAAAAAATATATCCGCCAGTCCTGTATTCCAGATATTATAATAATATAAAAAATATTTTTCTAGAATATTATTATTTACTAAATATATTTAATAATATTTATATTAAGTATAAATAGCCTGATGCTAGTAGCAGTTATATTATTTAAAATTTAATATAAGATATCTTACAGAAAATTTAGTTTTTTATATTTATTATTAATAAGAAATTACCTGTACCGGGGGTCTCTTATATAAATTTTATTATTATAAAAAAAAAAAAGAAGAAAGAAATAATTATTATATTAATATTTTTAATATATTTAAATTCTTTAATTAAGAAAGAGAATCCGGACATTAAGAAGGTACTAGTTATTATTATTATTAATAATAATAATTATCTAGTATTTTCTTGCTATCCGGCCAGGCAGGAAATACTAGATAATTAAAATTTATAAATAGAAAAAGTCTAAATAAATATAATTATTTTTTTAATTATATAATATATCTGTATTTATACTAGTATTAGTATTTATACTCTAATTATATAGAATATCTATATATAATACTCTGGATAAAACTTATATCTTTTTATAATATTCAGAATTAGTAGTTATCTGTATAACAAAGCCAAGTAAGTTATTTAATAGTATATATACAGCTTTATATAAATAAGTATTTAGATAAGTTACATGATCTAATCAGCTATATACTAATTCTGCTGGCAGTAAACACCAAAAATCGTTATTGCCCGATGGCCGCTATTGCCCGCCGTACCTGTCTGTCTTCCCCAAGCATACGCCACACACCCGCAGACTAGTTCATGAAATGAGCCCGATATCGGGCAACGGTCTATTTGCAAGATCTTAATACCCCTGCAATTTCGTATATGCATGGACTTGGGCCACATCACCCCAATAATTGTTGGCCCTCTTGGGGCTCGCCGCTTCGATGTCATTGTAGAGTTCATGTCTGGAACCGACAGCGTGGTATCGAACGGAGCCAAGAGCACCAAAGCCAGACTTCCAACTGTGAAAAGGGCGGAGGCGTGTAATGCCACTCCAGCCTGTGCTCGTCCCCTTAGTCGATCGAGGTTCACGGATATGCTGGACCAAGCTTGGGATCATTGGGAGGCAAGCACAAATGATGCTCATGTTTGTTTCGACTGTGGTCCAAATACCGGGGACAGTGAAAGTGTCTTTTACGGCAAGGAAGTGTGGTTAGTATCAACTATTCTTCTAGGAATCAAGGGAGAGCACGCACATGTCAAATCGGATACATCAATCGTGGCCATATAAACAAGCCGTACAATACTGGTCACGCAGACGCTGAGGGGATACCAGCTATCAGTATAGGGGATTAGGTGAGTTTATCAGACGAACTTACAATCCACCTACACTGAAGACCAGAGAAAGCAGAATTCGACACCGGCGTGTCTGCTTCAATCGCCAGACTACCGGTTGTGGCAGGATCAGAATAATTACATCAAGAAGGATGTTGACTGCACCCATAGCAATCCAGAAGCTCTTGTTGTGGATTGTCGTGCTGGGCTCCCAGAATTTCCACTGTGCATCTACAGGGTTCGTGGAGAAGATGAGCCCGGAGACTGCGGCTATACAGGCCCCTGCGGAGAGGCCGGTGACCACCCAATTGCAAAACAGGAAAGCCTTGTTGACGGAGAAAATTCGCCGATAGAAGAGTAATATAGATATTTTGGTCAATCCAACACTGACGTTGTAGATCACCATATCGGCTAATGTAATCTGGACCAAACAATCACCTGATGTTAGATTACGGTGTATTCCTGAATATGAATGTCCAAGGAAATGAAAGAATGCGTTCTCTACCCTGTGTTACGTGCGTACCTGGAAGTATCTTTCTAGCACAAGGGGGTCCTTGTACTGAGTGATGTGGATGCCCGCATGCCCCACGGTTGTGACGAGAGCAGTGGTGCATAGGAGCGCATAGGAAAATATCAGAGCAAGAAGACAGAACCAGTCATCCAATTTTATGGAGAGTGTGAGGGAGCGTGAGATAAATCGGAGAACTACCAAGCATGTCGATAGTAAGGTCATCAACCCCGTCACCGCGACGAAGATAACATTGAGATGGTGGGAATGTTCAGAAAGACCAGTTGCTGCCTGGAATGCCATTGTGCAATAGGCTCTTTCAGATTAGAAACGATAAAGCGGTATAGAAATGGAAGTCAGGGGTGAGGAGATATTCCCCAATGCTAGGCTGGGTCGTCACGCATCCTTGGTCTTATATCTTTTCAAGACAGCTGTAGGCAGATACCGGCCCCGAAGATTGGATAGGGAAAAGTGAGCTAAAATTGCGACGTGCTTTAGCTATGCAGCTAGGCAGTGATCTCCCCGAGACATAGTGTTAGGATCAATTAAGGCGAGAGGAGGTGCCGTCTGCTATTTATGGGATGAGCTGTTCAACTCGACATCTTGTAGCAAATCCACCCCACTGTCAAGAACACAAATAACGATATCCGTGATTCTAAGCACTTCAGCGATATATGGTAGGGACATCTGACTTAGGAGGCGAGAAGGAGCCCGCTGTGATATTGATTCAGTACGATTTGTCGCTAACCAGAATGGCACAGCCCGGTTAAAATAAATGACGAGCGGTCAATTCGTTCGTTGTCTTGTAAAGTGCATCGAAGCAAGCGCTACGCCTATCGAATACTCAGTCACATTTGAACCACTGCGCTAAAATCTTTACGACCCGCAGCGTTCTCTGCGGGGTGTCTTCTCAGAAGGAGTAGCACGGCTCATTGTGACAGAAGTCCTCTGCGAAGTCGGAACATGTGGGCCAAGAGTAGGCACCATCGACAAATTGAACTTGCTTCTGTAGAATAATTGGACTCTCAAGATTGAGCGGGGTTGAGTACTGCGAATGGTAGCATGGCTGCGACATACTTATTAAGGCTTCAGAATTTCTGGAGGCTGGGATAATAGTAGTTTAGCAGTTGCTTCGAGGGAATTACCCGAGTCCATACCTCCAACGCCGACTTTCCATGATCGCGTTCGGGAGGGGGTAACAGGTAGTTTTTTACTGGTGGAACGAAGCATAGTAATAGAGAATTAGTGTGACTCTCATAAAACTAGCGTGAGATAGTTTGTGTAAGTCACTTTGCAGGGAAGTAGAATTACTAGAGGCCTGCAGGCTAATGCGAAGCTGGGTTGCTGCATTGATGTGGGTAAGACACAGAATATTGGAGGTTGGGAGGCCGTATTGTGAAGTCGATACTGTTACAGTATATTACGCCAGGATAATACCAGTCTCCGATGGGAAAGCACTGCATAGAAGTCAGGTTCTCGGAGACTTTCATGTAGTGGCAGATTCCTTCTCATACTATCTGTATAGATGGATAGCTTTATCAAGATGAGTTTTGTCGTTGTCTCCCCTTCTTCTCCCTCCTAGAAAGCCTATCGTAGACCATGTCTTCACACTGTCAGAATATTTCATGAACACCAGATGTTCGTGATCAGTCGCGTAACTTGAGGTCTTCAGAGGCGTATCTGAAGCCAGCCGTCGAACCACTTAGGAAAATCCCGACAATGCAAAACGAGGAGAAATGATCGCGTCTTACACGTTTGACTTGGGAGCGTCAGTAGAGTAATACTGCGTTGCTTCAGCACCAAGTGTAACTTTCCACCTGTAGTCAATCCGATCGCTTCATCATCTTCGAGCTTGGGGGCCAGTGACTCTAGCTGCAGACGCTTGTCTAGCTCAAGCATACCACACTATACTCGCTGCATGCATGCAATGCTGGTATTGAACTCACTAGTGCAGGATTTAAGCCAAAAGATGGTATTCATAGTTATAAAGGAGTGTTCGTCCAGAGCTATCTTACCAGATGTATGACTGAATATCGTCTTTTCAGTCTTGTGTCGACATCATAGTATACGAGGCCGGGGATTTGTGGGGAGACATCGTTGATTCAGATGTCTAAATTCTGTACGAGCAGCAGCATGAGCGGCTGCCAAAAGTTGCATGGTTCAAAACATGATAGACTAAAATTCTACTTCATACAAACCTACATCTTGACATTAGATATAGTATATACTGATATATGTAGTCTTACTTGATATGATATACTTGAGAAGGTAGTACAGATTACGATGAAAGAACGTCTATATATCAAATAAGAAACCAAGAAGTAATCAATCAAGGGAGTGCTTCGCCGCGAAGTATACCCGGGCTCCTTAACCTTGTTTGAACATAGGGCCTACTGTATTTCCTAAAGACACCGTAAACCCAACACCGTAAACCCAGGAACATTTGCAAGCCATTTTGCAAGTAGATGTCTGATTGACAGTCATACTAGGCGATATATCGTATTCAATAGACTGGAGCAACCCTTGCTTCAATAATAAATCACGTGCATAAGAAAGGGGCTCAGTGATGGTCATGCATTGCACACAACATCATCAACATCATCGTCATCATCGTCATCATTATAATAGCAGACAATTGTTACGCAATTCCTTTCTCTAGGAGACAAATGCACTGGGAATCCTATCTGGTCCTTTTCCTGGGAGCCTGTGCCGCCGGCGTGAATGGGAAGCCCCAGGTCGACCTGGGTTATGCTCGCTACTGGGGTATTCGGCTGCCTGCTGGGGTAGATGAATACCTTGGTATGAGATACGCAGCACCTCCTTTGGGTCAACAGAGGTTCCGAGCACCGCCTGATCCAATCAGCACATCATATATTCAGGATGCATTTCAGGTAGGTGATTTATATCTCCTACAGAACAGGGCACGTACTGACGCACAGGTCGGTGGCCTTTAGTTTGGACCAACCTGCATCGGTGTTGGAGAAGAAATAAGCCAAAGTGTTGGGGAAGACTGTCTGTTTATCAACGTGTTCGCCCCATCCAACGCAACCGCCCTCTCCAAATTGCCAGTGTGGGTGCATATTCAAGGCGGCGGCTATGCATCCAACTCCAATGCCAATTTTAATGGAACGGACGTGATCCAGCACTCGGGATATGGCCTCGTCTTTGTCAACTTTAATTACCGTGTTGGGGCCCTGGGGTTCCTAGCCAGCGAGGAGATTCGGCGGGAGGGAGACCTAAATGTGGGTTTGCTGGACCAGCGGAAGGCTCTCACATGAATTAAGCAGTATATTGACAAGGTGAGTCATGGAAAAAGCTGCTATAGCGCATGGATGTTCTGACATTCTCGGTGTAGTTTGGAGGAGATCCAGACCACATTGTTGTCCATGGTGATTCCGCCGGTGCGGGCTCAGTGGCTCATCATATGACTGGGTATGGAGGTGGGGAGGAGGGACTCTTCACAGGTGCAGTACTAGAGCCTCCATTCTGGCCCACATTGCGCAAAGTTGCAGAGATGGAGTTCCAGTACACGCGGTTTGTGGATGATGTCGGCTGCTCTAATTCATCATCTGCGTTGGCTTGTCTTCAGTCTGCGGACCTCACTATAATACAAAAAGCTAACGTGCCGAGCCCATTTCCTAATGCTCCATCTGATCCATTGCCATTGTGGTACTTCCTGCCGGTCATTGATGGTGAGATGGTGCAAGATCAGTTGTATCGGCTCTTTGACCAGGGCAAAACCTTGAAAATCCCAGTACTGGTGGGCGACGATACAAACGAGGGATCTATCTTTGCATACAATGCCACAGACTCATCAGATATGTCTCGGTTTCTCCAGGCTAATTACCCGGGGCTGTCTCCTACCAACATGTCCACCATCATGGCTGCATATCCCCGTATGCGTCCCGTAGCAGACCATGGAGCCTATTTCCTGTCCGCATCCGCCGCCTATGGCGACGCCACTTTTACGTGCCCCGGAAACTCCATTGCAGCGTCAATGGCCGATCGGGTTTGGAACTACCGATACAACGTTCGAGCCCCAGAGTTGATCGATGAAGGCCTGGGCGTGCCACATATATTCGAGATTAGCGCTATTTTTGGTGTGGGCTTTGCTGGTGATAGTGAGACCACAAGCTACAACGGGATCAATGCCAACGTCGTCGCTACTGTAATGGACTATTGGATCAGTTTCGTGAAGGTGTTGGATCCAAATCCCCTCAGACGTGGCCACACACCACGCTGGGAACCGTGGATGCCCGACCTGGCACAGCGGCTCAAGATACAGAAAAATAGTACCGCGATGGAGCCAATTCCAGGGCAGCAGGCGAATCGGTGTTCTATGTGGAGAGGACTCGCGCCGGAGATGGAGATCTGATGACCTTGAGGTTGTTGATCATCGTTCCCAATTCAATGCCTGTATATCTTATGTCACTGGGCGATTCAATTATAGACTTCCTTTCAACCCCGCGCTTCACCTCTCCTCTGTATGTCATATGATTGTATCATGTTGAAGTTTTCTATGCTTTATAGTACCATTACTGCGCGAGAATACAAAATGTATACTAGTTGACATGATATCCGGATAAGGTATAAACGACGAGTTCGAGACGCCTGAACGGGGACCTATGGAAGGTGTGGGCTTATTGTGAATCAGATCTCAGACATTCATTGGGCTATGCATTACGAGCTTTTCTATGGCATTGAAATTGTGTATGCAGACACGGGCAGGCACGGAATGTGTCCCTGTTGCAGATAGTGTTGAATACATGAAATATATACTCACTCTCTCGCTTGCACCTTCGTCAAATATCTAATATCAACGGTCTATCCCATAATAGTGATGACCGCGTATAATACGATATTGTGACTCTAACAGAACTATTATCAGTTTTCTCAATAGAAAATACTCCTCGTCAAGACGAGGTGAATATACATATCATATCTACTATTAATGTACACCACATCATTGTCAAGACATAATTCAGTCTTCTGAAAGCTCTCCAAGAGGAGAGTAATACAGCATACATAATATTGAAGAAATGCTTATGAAAGTCTTAGTCTCTCGCCTTATCGGCTACGAGACCATATACTCCGAGAAATGGAAATAACCGCCTCAAGCAAATAAGACTATATACAAGATCCAGTCATGCAAACAGGGAAAGCGAAGTAGATTCGCAATTACTAGGTGCCTGACATTCACGTCGTAACGTGACTCCCGTGAGCACTAAGTCAGTGGCAACCAAGGAATGGCATACGATATACGAACATGATCTCGGGCCCACACTAAAGACAGGTCAGCCTTGCTGAGTACAATGTTTATCAGCGCAAAGGTGCAGGTGTATCGTGGAATACGGAGGGGCCTGAGCACAATGTCAGCTTGGCCGAGTATCAACTTTACGTTAAACGCTACGCTAATTCAATGCGGCCACTCATCACTTCGGTGGGCTCCGGACCTGTCAGCATCGAGTTCGGCTAGACTAGAAAGATCGGACTGGCAAGGCAGTGACTGATCCTTTGCATGCCCCTTGAGTAATACGTGAGCAGAATGTAGTAAAGGAAATTCCAAGCAGTAGTATGACAATGAAAAGACGGAATTCGGGCGAGTTCTTACTTCAGAATAAGCATGTACTGAAGGACATTTGCAGCTATATAAACTGGCATACGGCACCTGCCTTTGGGTGCCTTCTGGGATATCAAGTTTCTCACCTTTCGGAGAATACATTCATTTTGTTGAATTCGGTCGTTGGCACCTCACACGCACATCGGCTCGAAAGAAGCCAACATATTTCAACATCTTTGAGTATCTGACAATTATGCCAAAATCTTCTACCACCCAGTCCAGCATTCCTGGAAGGCTACTACAAGTCCAAAGCAAGGAGAGACCTGCAGGAGACCAACAAACAGCCACTCCACTGAAGGCACAAAATAATGTGGAGGCTCAGTACGGAGGTAACGACAAGTCTGGTGTCCTCCGAATGTTCCCGTCCGCCTGGTTGCCATATGTCCAGCTCGTCCGGCTGTGGCCTCCAGCCGCCCTTCTGCTCATTTACTTCCCCCACGCATTTGGCATCCTGCATGCTGCAATCAAAATGCAAGCTCCAGCAGAGCACGTCTTGCGAACCAGCATTGCGATCTTTGGGGGCAGCTTCTTCTTCTCCAATGCAGCTCACACATGGAACGATCTGATCGACGCACCCTTGGACGCTCAAGTGGAACGGACACGAAAAAGACCAATCCCTCGTGGGGCCATCACACCAAAAGCGGCTATTATCTTCGGATCCACTCAGGTGCTAGGTGCTGTCATATTTTTGGCATCTATGCCGTTAGGAGTTTCGACTTCCGGTCTATACGCCTTACCCAACATCATCAGTACGACCTACTATCCGTTCGCTAAAAGGCACACTCGGTTCCCACAGCTCGTGCTGGGCTTTTGCCTCGCATGGGGTGTGGTCATGGGCGAGGTGGCTATGGGAGTGCAGCCCGTGTCTTACTCCCCAGAGGCGGCCGGTCTCGCCGTTAACGTTTCGGTCATCTTCCTCGTAGCAGGAACTGCTTTGTGGGTCCTCATTTATGATACAATATACGCGCATCAGGACCTTCAAGCCGATCTGAAAGTTGGGATCAAAAGTTTAGCAGTGCTGCTGCAAGACCACACCAAGGCGGTGCTGTGGCCCGTCCTGATGCTCATGACCGGCCTCCTAGTGGAAGCTGGCCGAGCAAGTGGGCTAGGGACATCGTATTACCTTTTTGCTGTGTGCGGGTCTAGTGTGTCTCTCTTTCTCATGGTCTGGTATGTAGATCTGCAGGATAGTCGGAGCTGTTGGTGGTGGTTCAGCAACGGCTTCTGGTGGACTGGGGGCACTATCATGATTGGGTTGTTGGTGGAATATTCAAAGCAGGTCAGATTTTAGCTTCCTGCGATGTCGAGGTCACTCCCGCTCAGGGTCCGACGATTTTTGCGGGTGCGGGCCGCCGAGAGTAGACATAATTCAGCCTGTACACTAGAGTAGCTCTAGTCTGATTAGTTAGTGGGTACAAAGCTAGAAGTTGTTGGAGGTCTTGCTCGCTGTTTTGTGACGTCTAATAATACAACGTAGGACTTGGCAGAGATGGAAACTGAAGGCCAGCCTTCTTTCCTTGTGATATGGCGAGCTTCTAAGCCTGAGTATTTCTATGTATCTTACTAAGATACTTCGTAACGGGGCAACGCTCTTACATGTCGTGTGACGGCTTCTGCCATCAGCTTGGAGGCAGCGGCCATCGTTTCTCGGCTTCAGACAGCCACTGACATAGGAAAGCCCACAGGTGATACTTCCTAACCTTCTGGCGCATCATGATGAGAATTCTTGGCTGCATTAATTGTGCTGGAACGTTCGCTCAGCGCCAGCTCAAGACTGCAGTTGGATTGGATAACTATGGCGTTATGCCCGGCAGTTTGACGTGTGCCTCAACATGCCAGGAATTGGATACCTTCCTGAGATCGCCCAGCCTTGCAGCTCTTCTATTATGGCTTGGTATCAATGGTTGACTGGACCACCTTCCAAGCCGGGATGGCGAACCCACCGCGTAAATGCACTTTGGTGAATGGCCAAGGTACATCTACCTCTTCCTTAGAAGAGATATTCGCACATCCCACCCGCGCTTTGTCCTTTGTAATCTCCTGAAGCGCTAATACACCTTTGAGACTGTTTATCAACTAACTAGGGGCCATTACCGTCATAATCCTCCCCGATGGACGCAAAAACACCGTAATACCTAGTCGAAAGTTCACATGGCATCATTAAGCCGCGGCATGTCATCTTGAGAATTATTGTCCCATCTTCCGGTGTATCCGGTGCGCAAGTCGCAGATACAAATGAAAAAATGTATCAGGTGTGGGGGCCTTTCTGGTGTCGTATGCTGCCTGAGAACGTTTTCCTACCCTCTTAATGAAATTCCATTGCTGTAAGGTATGCTCCTGAGCATTGATGTCGCATATTAGTGGGGTGGTCTAGTCGATCAGACAAATCGGGTTGATTTTATCAGACTCACATCGTGTGGGATCTCCACCCCCCCACTGTGCCCTGCCCTAGCGACGATAGGGTCTTCTTTCCGGGTGATTAGACATGTGGAGCGGGAGGATCGTGTGTAGGGTATTCCTCTTGGTCCCTATTCGTCCGGTCGAGTAGACTGAATCTTGGCGTGATTACAAACTCGGGGAGCAGTCGAAGTATGGTGCAGCTGTCGAGTAGTTTATCCTGCAATGGTGCCTCTCCATGAGGAAAAGCCTTTTCAGCAATACCCTTGGAATCTCTTCACTGTGTAGGATGCATTCGCTGATTCTGGACATGCGTATTGCTTTCAGAAGTATGGACGTATGTCTATGATGAATTTGGTCAGCTGATTTATTTGACTGGTCAAATTGCAGACACATACTACTGTACACATTCATAGCTATGAAAGTGGATATACTGGATGACTAGTTCTTCCATTGAGCAATGCGTACGCTGTAAATAACGAGCTAAACACTGGATCAATCGATCTTCTTCTCCCTTATAGCAAACCGCCTTTGAAACAAAGACTTTTCCATACGATCGCATGCTAGATCCCAATCACTGCCCCGGGTCCATTTACGGTGGTAAGGCTGATACCCAAGTAAGCTACCCAGCCAGCGGCCGAGCGTAATCCCCATCCCCATAGCTATGACTGACCCGAAGGGCACCCACTCCGGCAGTGAGAGATAGGAGCCCCCAGCATCGAACATCTGTCAAGATGGTAACAATCAACTCAGTCAGCCAAAGCTTAGCATAAACAGTGTGAAAGGGAACATTTAAGGAAACAAACTCACCGACATGACCTGTAAAATATCGACATTCTTCCCCACAACTACAGTCTCCTCCTGATATCCATACCAATTCATGAAAAACAATATATCCAACTTGAATGTCTCCACAGTATCCTGCCCCGATAATAGAAACCGTATTATTCCATCACCCCCAGATGATGTCATATCATCGTTTGATCGCTGCTGTGCAGGAATTAAAGGCGGATACAATCGATGATCAATCCAGGGGCGGATGCAGAATCGTCCACTCTTGGGGGTCAGTGTGTACTGTTGATTCCCAACATCGACGCACAACTCCCCTTCCAGGACTTCTATGTACTCTTCCTGATGTGGATGGAAATGCTTTGGGGGCTTGACGTTCTTGAGGAAAGCAGGCCACTTGTCAAGGTGGAAGGTGATTTCAAAAGCGAAGACAAAGGGTGGGATGTGACGCTCCTGGGTGATGATTGCTCCGTTGAAGCTATAGCTTCCTGGTTAATAAGAATGCATGCATTGGATGGAGTGAATATCAAAGTATGTACGTACCCTCTTTGGATAGAAGGATCGGAAGGGAGTTCAGTCGAGGTCATGATGGTGAAGGGTTGGATTTCCCTTCAGCTCGGCCCATTTGTTGAATTGTAGATGCACATGGGGTCATATCAGGGTCTGGCCTGTTAGTTATATGGCATTACTAACATGTGGCACCGTATGGAGGAGACAAGTATGACATTGATCTGACTAGGGGCGGGAACGAGGACGGAAGTAAACACTTTGTAAGCAGCTGGTATCGAATGCAGTCGTGAATAGTGGGTATGAAATGGATTGCTGAAGTGATATTTACAAGCCGCTGCTGACATTCATTGGAGACTGGTTATAGAATGAAGTAAGCACTAAGCTGATGGGTTATAAGTAATATCCGCATCAGCAATCAACTGTGAGGCTCGCAGGGAAATGCATTACGCAATGCCTTCGGGTGAGGCTAAGACGGGCTCAAATATATCTAGAAGAAATGCAAGCACCGTTTCATCCTTCTTTTCTTATCTAGTATTCAATGACCGGTACCATTGTCATACCTGGAGAGATCGTTCAGATGTAGTCATCCATTACAATAGCGCTGCTTGCAAGACGTGGCTCAAGTATTGTTTACATGTTACTTCAATTTTCGCTCGCATATTGGCATATGGCAGTGACTGGGCAATAGTACTTTATCGAAGCGACCCCGCACGGAAGAGCTGAAGATAAGCAGTTGGTCGTGATTACTCGGCTAGCCTTATACTTTAGCGACCATGGCAGCATATCTAGACGCACGCCGCGCCTAAAATTACTGTTAGGGTCATGCCGGAAGGTCGGTGCGAGAGTCGGTCGGCCCTGCCCGGTTAATCCTTACCTTCATGGAAGCGGGATGCGGAACTTAATGCCACGGAGCAGCAGTGTCGCCTAAACCTAACCTTTGGGGAATTCTTCTGGGCATTCCAAGACTCTGCTTATCTCCGCACATTGTTGCAGAATTTAACAGCTCAAGCATATAAGTCAGACTACACCTCACATATTTTGTACCAATTCCAAATCCCACTGCTAATATTCCGTGAGAGGTTGTCACTATTTCAGCCTTAGCTATGTCGGTTCCCCACCCCTTTGACCCTTTGAATCCAAGAGAGATCGCAAAAGTATGGAAACAAACGAAAACCTTAGGAAGAGAGATTTCTGACAGTGGTCTCAGGCTGCGGCTGTTGTACGCGATGCATTTCCCGGACAACCCCCAAACTTCCGAGTGATTACTCTGAATGAACCCCCAAAGACAGATATGGTTCCCTTTTTGGAGCAAGTCCATAGAGGAAAGAGTGCACCGAAAAGACCCGCGAGAGTTGCTCGTGTCCAAGTAGTCCTTCCCGGAGGTTCTTGCGCCAATCAATTTATTGAGCTCCTAGTCGACCTGGAGGACTCTACGATCCTTAAGAAGGAACATCTGATCGGAAGGCATCCGTACATCGACTCTGATTACATGAAAGCTGCCGAGAAGGCGTGCTTGTCAGATCCGAAAGTTCAGGAAGAAATCGCTCGCTTGCAACTGCCGGACGGTGCTACCGTTGTTGTGGAGTCGTGGGCATATGCCACAGATGGCACCAAGGACACTTCACAACGGACTACCATGGTAAATACATCATATTGATCAAAGTGCACAACGGCTGGATGTTAACCAGGTATATAGTGTTGGTTCTACATGCGCTTGGTGGATGACGCCGATGCCAATTACTATGCCTATCCTCTAGATTTGTGCGCGGAAGTATCGGAAGACTTGAAAGTCACCAAGACGTATCAACTTCCTTCTGGTCCAGACGATCGCATTCACGACAAGCCGGAACCATTCGATCGCCGCAAAATTCATGGCGCAGAAATTGAATACAGTCCTGGATTGAGAGCTTCACCGCGAACAACTACAAAGCCATACCAAGTGGTACAGCCGGAAGGTCCCTCATTCAAGACACAAGGAAACCATTTAGACTGGGAAAAATGGTCCATGCACATCGGGTTCAACTACCGAGAAGGCCTCACCCTTCACGACATTCGCTACGATGGCCGAAGCCTCTTCTACCGCTTGTCCCTTGCAGAAATGTTTGTGCCTTATGGCGACCCGCGAGCCCCTTACCCTCGCAAGGGGGCATTTGATCTTGGCAATGACGGGGCGGGAATCAATGCTAACAACCTTTGTCTGGGTTGTGACTGCTTGGGTCACATCAAGTATTTTGATGGCTGGCACACGACTACTGCAGGGGACCCATTGAAGCTTCCGAACGTAGTCTGCTGTCATGAGGAAGATGACGGCATTTTGTGGAAACACACAAACTACCGGACGAGAAATGCGGTGGTGACGCGCTCGCGGATCCTTGTCCTGCAAACCATCATCACCGTTAGCAATTACGAATATATCTTCGCTTTCCAATTCGGTCAGGATGCGTCGATTCATTACGAAGTACGCGCTACTGGAATTCTTTCAACCGCACCGATTGATATTGGTGATAAAGTACCGTGGGGTACCATTGTCGCGCCTGGCGTTCTAGCCCCCTATCATCAGCATTTATTCTCCCTGCGTATGGATCCCGCGATCGATGGTCATAGCAATTCTCTGCAGGTCGAAGAATCCCATGCTATGCCTGTCGACGTGCACAGCTTTGACCATACCGGTAAATCTCAAGAACAAATTGACTCGCATAGAAACCCCTTCGGCGTCGGATACGTCACGCGCTCCTCCATCGTGGAGAAAGAAAGCGGCTTGGACCTTGATATCACCAAGAACCGCACATTCAAGATCATCAATGAGAACGTTATCAATCCAGTGACTGGAACCCCAGTTGGCTTTAAGCTACTTCCTGCCTATAGTCAAATGCTCCTTGCACACCCGGATTCATACCATGCCAGGCGCTCAGAGTTTGGACAGCACGCCGTCTGGGTTACGCGGTACACAGAAGAAGAACACTTCCCTTCTGGCCGTCACACTATGCAGTCACTAGGTGGCGACGGTATTGCTTCAGCGATTGCTAAGCGAGCTGGAACTGAGCATTCATCGGTGCGCAATAAGGATATTGTCATCTGGCACACTTTCGGATCGACCCACAACCCCCGAATTGAAGACTGGCCCGTCATGCCCTCGGACAAGATGGTAGTTGGTCTTAAACCGGTCAATTTCTTTACCGGTAATCCTGGCCTCGATGTCGCAATCTCAACGCAGGAGAGAAACCGGAGTGTCTTGGTTGAGGGAGGGGATGATGTTGACTCCAGGTCGGGTTGTTGCAATCTGTAGTATCCTTATTTATAGAGCCAGCTTGCAGTGGCCGATGTAGCAATAAAGTCTCCCTCTATATAGATGCTATGGAACGCCCTTGATCGATGACATACTTGCCAAAATTCCCCAAGCAGTTACGTCTTCAGAGGCCCCGTATATTTCCCCATGACGCAGTAATGACTCTATACAAACACTCTATAAAGACCCGTTCTTTCTTCCCTTGCCACGACCTTCAAAGCTCCAGTCAATCTGCGTCGCCATCCTCACCTTCACCCCCAACTCATTCGCAAACGCACGAACAAGCCCAGGGTTCTGTTGGAACCAGCGACCAGCTAGCACCGCATCGATCCCAGATTGCACAACCTCTTCAGCAAGCTTTCCTGTTTTGATTCCTCCAACAGCGGTGACCAGCAGCCTGTCACCAACTGCTTTCTTAACCTCATGCGCCAAATGCACCTGATAAGCAGGACCAGACCTGATAGCGATGGCAGACTTGGAATGAATCCCACCCGAGCTGACATCCACCAAATCCACCCCATGATCAGCCAAGATAGGAGCGAGCCGAACAGATTGCTCAACCGTCCAACTCTCCGGGAATTCCTTCTTCAACCCCTCATCAAACTCAAACCAGTCCGTCGCACTGATGCGCACAAGAAGAGGCATTGTATCCGGGATTACACCCCTAATAGCGTCGCACACCTCGAGCAATAGCCTAATCCTATTCTCAAAGCTCCCTCCATACCGATCCGTTCGCCGATTACTAACAGGACTGAGAAACTGATGCAGGAGGTACCCATGCGCCGCATGAACCTCAATCGCATCAAACCCCGCCCTGACAGCCCGTTTCGCAGCCCCTGCAAAGTCCCTAACCAGCTCCTCAACCTCCTCCCCACTCAAAGCCCTCGGAACCGCATTAACCCCCTCTTCATGCGCAATCGCCGAAGGCCCAACAATCTCATCTGGCCATCCACCAACCTCCTTCACAGCCATGGCATTGACGCTTAGCCATGGAGCAACAGCGCTAGCCTTGCGGCCTGCATGCGCTAGCTGAATAGCTATCTTCTGGCTCTGACTATGGGCGAATTCGGTGATTCGTCTAAGAGGCTCGATCTGCCCGTCTTCGTAGAGGCCAAGGTCTTGGGGTGTAATTCGGCCTACTTTCTGCACTGCGGTTGATTCCATGATTGCGAGGCCCGGGCCGCGTTGTAGGATACCGCCTAGATGGGTTAGGTGCCAGTCGGTGGCGTAGCCATCTTTTGCGGAGTATTGGCAGAGAGGGGCGAGGAAGAGGCGGTTGGGAAGGGTGAGGGATCGGATGGTCAGGGGGGTGAAGAGCTTGGTTGTGCCCTCTAGTTGGGTTCCTGCTGGTGGGGTTTGTGCTGGTGTGTAGTAGGAGATTCCTTGTGCGGGAGGGTTGTCGATTGGGGTTTGGGTGGTGGGCATTGTTGTGGTTAGGGCTTTTGGCGGCGATGGAGGGTAGGGAAGGGTGCGATTCGGTTTCGTTGATCGGTTTCTTGAATCTATTCGCGCGTGAGAAGAATGATGGAACTCAATTCATATACCAATCTCGCTATTTGCGAAGACCTACGCTGGAAATGATATAAGTCTCCTTGCAACTGTTATTGTTGCAGGGATTATTGAATGTGATTATAAATCCACGGATTAATAATGCGCGATCACGCCATGGTAGACAGTTGCTTGCATGGGGTATTTGGAAGATGTAATTGGGTCAGGATAGAGCCCGGCACTAGTCATAGAGCAACCTGCATATACTACCGAGAATTCAGAGTAAATATTACGTTCTACTTTGCCTGCGTCCAATCTATAACTTGGCACAACCATTGTTGGGGCGCTTAATTGTTATGTCTCATTTGACTCCGAGCATATTAGCTCTGAAGTCTTCTTGGATGCAATTTAATAATGTGGCTGCGTGTGGCTAATGCTACAACTTTCGAGCAAAGGCCCCAAGCTATCACCATTTCGCGTGCAGGGAAGATTAATACATTGTCTCTTTTGGATCTAAGTCACCAACGTTACACGGCACGGATATCCATCTACTGGATGAGTGCCAGCTTTCTCAGACTGATATGCCCTTTCGCCGTGCAGCAGCTTAGGCTTCTTGTTATGAAAGCCTACAGACTCAGCAATGTGATCAAACCAGCCCCTCTGTTTTGCCTTCATCGCATCCAATTCATCGTAGGCTGGCTTTATCTCAAATGTCCGGGCGGTCATCACTAAGACTGTCCGCATCTCGTTGTAGACAAGAGTCTGGCCAATGCAGTTGCGTGGTCCCAGCTCGAACGGACGATAGGCTGCCGGGTCGGGGTGAAGTTCGTGGCCTGGGTCAACGAGCCAGCGCTCTGGGAGGAATTCTCTCGCTCGTGGCCATACCCTTGGGTTGAGATGCGTCGCCTGGTGTAAGATGGTGACGCTGAAATCATCTGCCAAGGGGTATTGGTTGCCGTGTCTGTCAGTAAGTGACAAACCATCGGCGCCTTGACGCATAGTGCCTGCTGGGGAGTAGAGCCGAAGGGTTTCTTTGATAACTGCCATTGTATATGAGCATTGATTGAGCAAGGAAGGTTGTTCGCGGAGTAGCTGAACCGCAGCTGAAGGATCTGGCCCAAATATGTGGTCATGTTCTTGCCGCACTCGAGCCAAAGCCTCAGGGTGTTTAGATAACATGTGATACACGTAAGCGATACTGCTCGAAGTGGTATCAGTTCCGGCAAAGAGGAACAATCGAATCTGATAGGTCACGTATTCTGCGAAGCGGTCGTCTAACTCTGTAGCGTCAGTGATTCCTTCGTTTCTACTCTCTAAATATGCTTCCAAGGCTAGAGTAAGGATGGATTTGGCTCGCTTAGAACGAGACGAATCATCCCGTTTGGCTTGCTTCATCTCGGAGAATCGCTCATGCAGAGCTTTTCGAATGCATTTGTTCACAACGCGACCGTAATATCCCTGAACAATAGGCCGAAGTGGGTGTGCTCGTATGCGAGGGTCCCAAAAAGAATGCCATTTGGTAATGTGGCCAAGAGCAGTTGCAATGATATTATCGGAATTCTGATGATCAAGGTCCGCGTCACTAGTCTCCTCGTTAACATTTGCCATACAATGGGGGGAAGGGTAAACCAACAGCGTCACTTTGAGAATGACATCCATGGTTAATCTGGTGGTTAGGTCATCTAAGGCGAAAAATTTCCCAGCATTGGCTTTCTCGTGCAACTTATCACAAAAGACACCAACCGACTTGATAACTTCGGGAAGGAGATCCTGCATGCTGCCAGCACTGAATCCCGGATTAAAGATTGATCTCCAGGCCTTCCACTCAGCATTTCCCATAGAGATCATACTAGGCCCGCCAGTAATCGGTTGCATGAATCGAGGCTGTATGACTGTTTTGGGGAGGTTGAATTTATTTGTCGCCTGTGATGCCGCTTCGGGATAGAAAACTATATACTGTGCGGGAGACATAGGCCAGACATCCAATAGAAAGATCTCTGTATCAGTATGTTCCGACGCCAGCTCTTGCGTCGCAAGCACAACATTGGCATCTTCGGGTAGACGATTAACATAGTCTGAAAGAACCAGCAAGTGACCAGTTAGCCAGCTCCACCCTGCTGGCATGCGCTAAACACGGTGTTAGTGATAGTATAGTAAGCTTCGTAGGTAAGATTGAGCTTACCACTCCTTGTTTGCGGAGGCGGTTGATTTTGGAACGGTGTTGGTAAAGCGCATGGAGTCCATACGCGGCGAGGCTTACAAACGGTAGGCAAATGGTCAGAATAATGTTGATGGAAGCCATTGGCGTAGACTTGATGTCCCTCGCTTCCATCATGGATAGGCAATCGGAGGAAGCGGTTTAGTGGAGGAGTGTTAAGGGGATCGTGGCCAGGGCAGGAGGCGGTGAGATTAGGCGGGCAGTTGCCTAAAAGGGTAATAGTGTAACACTCCAACATTTCCCAGCCTCGATCGTTGGTTCTGTGTACAGCACACCTCAACAATGCTTATAATAGCATTTTATGGAGCCTCAAATGCTACCAAGCATATGCGGGAGGATATTCAAGCGTAAGCCAGAGGCTGTGTCTGGAATGATATTCGAATAAGCCCAAGTTACAACCACCGTTGGCCTGCTCGAACGCGCAGTTTGTCCATACTGATAGTGAAGATGATGTAAATATCAAATTGTCAGTGGCCTGACTGCATTATCCCTTGCTTGTATCATACCAGAGCACGGCCGCAGTTTCTCGCCCTTACTGCTCAGCACCTCAGCATCTCAGCTCGGTGCGTCGAGTGGGAGATGTCGTGTGGTATATGAACGCTATGCCAATCGTGAAGGAGCGATATTGGTAGTATAAGTTGGATAATGGCATGTGCAATTTAAACAGTGCACTTTACCGACTCCTGATGCTGTCGCTCAGAGACATGACGAGTACTTCGTAACCCCCGAGCGATGCTACTAAGTGTGAAGAATGACATGCCAACGAACAGAGTGCGTATAGATCAATGTGGAACGAAAAATTGAGTAACTGCATATGAAGGGAAAATATACCGACTGGTATCTGCGTAGGCTATTCATATAATAATGACATAAGAAACTGCAGTGGTCTTCATCGTAGCCAGGACACTCAAGACAGGGGTGACGCTAGTGTGACTCGGTAGGGATATCGGTTCCCACACACTGATGACAAGCGTCCTTGAGAGGCAGAGCTAGACGGCTATTGCTAAGCACGCTTGAAAAATGGAAGAGAGAGAATATCGACCCCAACATCGCACTTTCTAAGTCCAAAGCGCTGGGAATTGAGGCTGAGTGTTCGAAGGGAGACTGAGAATCTCAAGGCAACCCTTGGGCCCCTTGCTTCTTTTGGGAGGCATTACATCCTCGTGAGGTCGATAAAATGCAGTCAGCATTGAGTATGTGGGAGGAAATTCAGTGAGCCGCTCAAGTCCCCGCACATCCAACCCAGACACTCGTGCAACCACAGGGTCTGACAGTTCAGCTATACATAAAGCGGTGTTCCCGTCGGAGAGGTGCATCAAGAAGTGCATGTACACCTGTATATGATATGCCCAAGTCATTTGGGAAGGTGTCAAGATGGACATCTCACTAAATTCCACGTCTAGTCAAGCTTCCCAGGCCCCGCCGGTCATAGGTGATATCGGTCGGATTACCCAGCGGCAATATGGGGTAAGGCTATTTCAAGCATAATTATCCGAAGGCGTAACTCTAACCAGATATGTATGAATACCAGATAGCCGTTGGAATTTTCTTCGCGTTAGCATCACTGTCGTTTCTTGGCCGCATCTTCATCCGACTCTTCACCCGACGACGCCTCTATTTGGACGATGCATTCCTTAGCTTTGCTTTTACCACGCTGCTGATAGGAACGGTACTGGGCTTTCTCCGTGCATACACCATCTACTTTCAGATGGCAGCATTGGAAGGAAATGTTGACGCACTTCTCTTTCTCGCCTCACATTTAGAAGAACATGCGAAAGATTATGGCTTTAATATCGCCTTTATAGTCCTTCTCTGGACCACAGTCTTTGCCGTCAAGTGGTGCTACCTGGCATTTTTCCACCCCCTCCTAGTGGGGATGTCACGCTGGTTTATCCTTTATTACCGTTGCACTGTGGGATTATCCTTTATTTCGTGGATCTTGAGCGCCTTTGTCGCACCGATCGTTCCTTGTCCGTATACAGGAATGAAGGCAATCTGTAGGGATCCCTCGTCAGCGATAATCTCTCACACTAACCATGTGAAGCAAAATGCTTCCCCTCTTTACCCGTCCCGAACAGCACGGTCCTCGCAATGGTCTGGCTTCCACCGATCTTGGACGCGCTCACTGATATGATGAGTATGTCACTTAGCCAGATGAGGATTAGCTATAACTAACATTTCCCAGTCATTAGTATTCCAATGCGATTGCTCTACAAAGTTCAGTTGCGAACCTTGACAAAATTAGGTCTTGGATGCTTCTTGTGTCTCTCGGTCTTCATGTGCACATGCTCCATCATTCGCACCGCAGGCACGTGGTACCACGGACTTCTCGACTACCCATGGCAGGTATTCTGGCTTCATTTGGAGGGATGCATTGGAGTCACCATGGGATCCATCACCGTCTACCGGTCCACTCTGATCGGATCTAACGAGGTCTCAACTGCTTTCAAGAAATACTTCACCCAAATCAAGAACGCGGTGTTGGGTTCATCGAGTGGCACAGCAGAGGGGTCACCAGCGGAGGAAAACAAAACCCAGACACGTCAAATTAAACTACCCTCTATTCCGCAAGCGACCATTACAGGGTTGCGAACATGGTTCGGTCTCTCTAGGAAGGACCCTGCCACTTCCAACGGTGACTCCGGACTCTCCAGCTTTAACAGCGATATCGATTACCATACTTTGTTGAAAGCCCCCACGGCAGCGGCGAATCACCGTCAATGAGGCCTAGGCTTGCTTATTGCTGTTTCTCTCAATCATGTTGGCAGGGAAGGGTTCAGATATATATCGTTGATCTACCTGGATCTCATGATGATGTTCGGATCATAAGTAAGAGGTAGTGGTGGTCGGAGACCACAGAGGTCGCTAAAGATCCAGATGATCACTAGATAGGCGAATCTCTCGGTATTAAATTATCGGGATCGGAGTTAAGACGCGACATGCCATATGTGATATACGCGGGGATAGCATATCTCCAGCACAGACAGAAGGATGAAGTGAAGAATGGATGGACTGCGCCAAACACCCGGCTTAAGTCCGCGGACATTGGGTGCCGCTTTAGGCTTAGTGGCTGATAACCGTGATATATAGGATCATCAGGAACTGGTATTAAGAGAACTAGACAGGCTACTTCAAAGATAATACTTTTTATTTGAGCATCTGCAGTTTCGCTTAAAAACTCCTATTCCACCCACAATGGCCTCAAGGGACCTTCCCCCATCGACCGCGCCCTTCTTCCCCAACGTCTTCTTCTATAACCAATTCTGTGCCAAGCCCAACTGGCCACCCGCAACCACAAACCTCTCTGGTCAAGTTGCCATAATCACTGGAGCAAACAGTGGACTGGGATATGAGTGTGCATTCCAGCTTCTATCCCTTCAACTGAGCCACTTGATCCTCGCTGTTCGCTCTCCCCAAAAGGGGGAAGCCGCAGCAGCTAAGCTTCGAGCCGTTAATCCCACGTCAACAATAGATGTATGGCCACTTGATATGAGCTCATATGCCTCCATACAAAGCTTTGCAAAGCGGGTCGAAAACCATCTTTCCAGTCTAGATATTGCTATCCTCAATGCTGGGGTGAGACAAGCCCAGTTCACCACCAATCCGAACACCGGCCACGAGGAAACAATCCAAGTCAACTATCTCTCAACCATGTTCTTAGCCATCCTACTTCTTCCCAGCTTGAAGAAGAAATCTCCGAGGGGAGTGTCGGGCCGATTGACTATCGTCAGTGCGGCATTATCGCTTCTGCCAAGCTTACCCGACGTGAAGGATGCGCCACTTCTGAAGTTGTTCGATCGCCGAGATACATTTGACGTCAATAGCAGTTACTGCATGTCAAAACTTCTAGCTCATGCGTTTCTCTATAAGCTGGCTGAATATGTCGCCGCAGATGATGTGATTGTTAACCTAGCAGATCCAGCCTTTGTGAAAGGCACGGACCTGGGGCGGGATTCGCCTGCTTATGCGAAGGCTGGGTTGGCGGTATTTGGAGCATTGACAGGAAGGACAGTCAAGGTTGGTGCATCGACGTATGTTGATGCTGCTGTACTAAAAGGGAAGGAGTCGCATGGGTGCTTTCTGATGAGTTGGAAGATTGAGCCGTATGTATTGCCGACTTCTTTTGAGGTTCTCACAACATAACTGACCCACGTATGTTCAGGTTTAATGCGTCGTTGTATACGCCCGAGGGGAAGCAATCTATTGAGCAGCTGTGGCAGGAGACGATAGATGAACTTGATTTTGCCGGTGTGCGAAGAAAACTTGAGACTCTGTAGTTCTCAAAAGGGCCGAAGCACCTACTCGCTGTCATTTGATAATTGTTCCTCACAGCTGAAACCGGGTTCTTAGATCTATGATATTGAAGAGTTAGCAGTACCAGAGCAATTTCATTCCTAAGAATCTACCAACGGACGAGATACAGAAGAGTAGAGCAAATTCCCATGTATAGCTCATGCGATGAAAAGCTTCGTTTAGACTCTGAGATGTCTGCTGCATAAGCACACCCAATGCAGCATAAAAAGGAGATTCCTGGACTCTATGACGTTGAAGAAATCCGTATGCCTCTCAAATCTCCAGATCAATCGGGGAGTGGGGACAGTACTCCACACGGGCCCACTTGGCCAGCATGAGTGGGCATGAGTCATTCTGAGTCGAGATGAATACACCAAATCACGATCATAGCACAGCCCACTCCTAGGCCCAAACTGCTTGCAGTTTCCAGAACTAGCCATGGAAAGACTCAGAATTATACACTTTAGCACAGATCTCTCACCTGAGGATCTCCAGATTCGGGGACTCTGCCCCACCCGAGCTTCCCATTCCACGTGACGTTACCCTGCAGGCCCAGCTATATAACTTAACCTCAATCCTCATGAACATCACCTGAAATTCCCATCCATGAGCTCAATTACACATTATACTACCTAACCTCCCAATCGATCAGCCTCATACACACAAATTTCGCCAACTATAACCTTCAATTATTACATGACCTCCCCACCATCCACAATGGCAACCACAACCACCACCTCCAACCCCACCCCAACAATGACCTACTACGACATCGCCATGCGGCCTCCAGTAACGGGGAACGCAGCAGCCGTAAACCCCTGGAAAGCGCGCCTGGCCCTGAACTTCAAGAACGCCCCCTACTCCACAACATGGGTCAAGCTCCCCGAAGTATCCAAAGTCCGCCGCAGCCTGAACCTCCCCGCATGTCGCAAATTCGCCGACGGTAGCGACTTCTACACCCTCCCCATCCTCTCCGACCCTACCACAAACTCCCTCATCGGCGACTCTTTCGACATCGCCGTCTACCTACAAAAGACCTACCCCGCTTCTGGTGACGGGGATCTCTTCCCTCCGCAGACACTGGACTATGAATTGAAGGAGGATTTGAAGGTGCTGGTACCGCTATCGGAGCGGAATGATACCGAGTATGCGGATTACGCGCGGTTCAATAATAATGTCGACGCGGCATTCAGTGTGCACACCTTGTTGATGGTGCAGAAAATGCCGTTTGATCCCGAGACGGCGGAGGAAAGTAAGGCGGAGTTTGTCCGGCGGGCGGGGTTTAAGTCATGGGATGATTTTGCTCTTGACGGGGAGAAGAGGGAGCAGGTGTTGAGTTCGTTCCGGGATATGCTTGGGGACTTGGCGAGGATGTTTGACAGGGATACTAGTGGGCCGTTTTTGCTGGGGCAGAGGCCTAGTCATGCGGATTTTATTGTCGGTGGGTGGTTGCGCATGTCGAGGGTTACGTTACCGTCGACGGAGTGGGAGCAGTTGAGGGGGTGGCATGGAGGTGTTTTTGGGAGGTTGCATGATGCGTTGGATGTTTATGCTGAGGTAAAATAGGCTTAACAGAGTTGGTGAGAGGGGAAACTTGATGGACAAGAATAGAAGAAGGAAGGAAAAGTATTGTATAATAAAGCATATAAAGTTATACATCAAATGCTTTCTATAAGCAAGAATTATAGCCCATTCCCCGAATATAAGGGTGGCCACCACTCAAAGACATCGTCTCCAAAGAGTTCATTATCGAGTGATGAGAATATGTCTATGGTTGAAGCTTCTTCCTGGGATGGCTGCCTGGGTAGCAGCGTTTCCACACCTGGTATGCCCATTGAGCTCTGTATTTCAGAGGTTGGGGCCTGGGCATCTGTTGACTGGCCATAAACTGCGAGTAAGCAAGACCTCATTCTTTTCACCCAGGCCAGTGATTTCGAAACCACGTTTTCGTGGTCAGTAATGCCATCATCAACGTTGGTTTGTACATTGCTCAGGTTCTGAGCAGTCCTGTCAAGAATAGACGCAATGTCTACAGTTCGTCGAATCATATTCACGTCCCATGCCGGATCTTCGAAGGATGCGAGTCGAATGAGGGTCAAAATTACGGTTCGGAATTGCCTCCACAGAAAGAAGGGGAAGTATGTATACTCGGTTGGTTTGAAGTTGAACATAATGTCCATGGCGCGTTTCGCTGCATTGAGGCAATTAAGAAGGGCCTCCATGCTGCTGATATCATCTAGAAGAGGGCAATGCCCAAGGCGCGTAAAGATAAGGTCATTGATGCAGATTTCTGTGTGTAGGGACATTGCTTCAAGCATCTCTATGGAGTATCAGTGAGAACTGTGATGGTGTCGAGTCAGGGATTGCAGATTGGACGTACTATTCGTGGCCAGGTGCAGGGGTAATTGCTTTCTCGTCTCGGATAATTGAGTGTTGAGAGAAAATATGTATGGATGGATAAGACGCGTACTTTGTTCGCTGTCGGTATCTCTTAGTTGTATACGAACATCAGTGACCATGCTCGTTATGCGCTGAAGCTTGATCATTTGCACCAGCAGTTCGTCTCCTCGAACACCTCTAGAGCATTGTATCATTTTCAGACACTCTTCAAGGTATGGTGACCAGGCCAAACTCTCCCCAACTGTTTGAAACGTTGCAACGCTGGGTTTGCCATTAGCGGTAAACCAAAATAGTTCGATGAAGTGCTAACCATGATGTGAGAAAGTAGCAAGCCAATGCCGTCCGTGCAATTACGACGCTCCTCGGCTGGAATCTGCCTGTAGCTCCCTGAATCTGAGATGCAATCGGTCGAGGAAACATATGAATCAGATTACCCTCTCCGCAATGCCGGCTTCGGAGTTGCAGATCGACCGTCAGAGCAGTGCACAGCTGAGACAAAATAGTAAGAAGGGGTCCCATAGAGAAGCGGAAGTGTCCCCTATAGATCACCATCAGTCATGCAGTTACCAAGGGTGTGATAAAGAGAACTGACCAACCGATGAAACAGAGGAGACCATGCAACAGATCCATCGTACATTTGCCTTCTACGATTACCTCACGAGCGGCAACCTCTCGGACTGTCTTTGCTAGACTGCTCTGTTCTTTGGCATCTGTAGATGTCACAGCCATTATACATAGCCAGAGAAATGGCGACTCTCGGTATAGCGCTTCAGAGGTCGACCCCTTCTCGAAATATAGAAGAGGGAGAAATTCAGTATAATGGTTATAGAATGCTTTGAAACGTTGTTTGGCATCATGAGACGATGGATTGAGAGCCCTGGAAAGGCTCTGTGGGAATAGGCCCCAGCTTCCTGATGGATCATTTGGATACTTGTTGCCATGATCTGTGGTTGCTACATCAAGATCACCAACAAGCGGTTGTGCATGCGACCCACGATCTGCAGGCACTGAAGCGCGAGAGAGAGCTGATATAAAGGACCCTGATGACGAAGCAGTTTCTTCGGGTTCAAGGCTACCCTGGCGAGCTTTTAATAATGAAACGAGCCCGTCTAACTTCTGCTCCAGACGAGCAGCTTGAGAGCCGTTGGGTCTCGAGCCACTCCTGCGGACGGTAGGAGAAGGGTTGCATTCTACTTTGAGCCGAAAGCATCTGACCATGTACATGAGCCAACGATCGCCAATGGTGTTTTCGAGAGGTGGATTACCTTTCACATCCATCTCCATTGGCTCGCAGCATGCATTTGCGTTTGACGCGAGCACAGTTGACGCATGCCCGGCCGTATGCGGCCGGCTTTCCATTATTACGTGCTGTCTTTTCCATCTAATTCAACTAAGAAATGTGAAGTATAATTGAGACACTGGATGGTCCAACAGGAATTCAGGCGCTGCTGCACCGCGATTGCAGAGTTCTTGGGATTAGCTGCACCCTCCGGTGGACGGATTTCCGGGGGGTTGAAAATTCGAAATCCGCTCCCGCAACTAAAATAGCGGCATGCGAATCCCGCTCCGCTCCGCCTCCACTTTCTATACCCTTAAAAGCCCCCTAGAGTCCAAACCATGTGAAATCTGGCCATCGCAAAAGTCGTTCTCTTATTTGTATATCAATAAAAATGGAATCAATTAGCAATGCTCTTTACTATGTGTTTCATTCATTTCATTTGACGGATGTCCTGCAATGGTGATCATCCCACACCCATTGTCCTGCCATTGATAGCTGACGGAATGCATATTCACAATCATAGGATGACCCAACACAACCCAGATCATCGATCCAATATTATAAGTGAAAGCGAATCTCGGCAGGTTTGTTTCAAGTTTCTTGATCAAACCAGCCGGAGCTTCAGCGTTATCATTAAGGAGCTCCACTCCGAACTGCTCGTCCCGATTTGTATCTTCTACCTTGTCCTCCGCGGTCTCGACACCATAGAAGACGACCCTTCTATTACTGTGAAGACCAAGCAAACCTTGCTTCGTGAGTTTGAAAATATAATAATGAAAGACGGGTGGACATACGATGGCAACCGTCCCGAAGAGAAGGACCGCGAACTGCTTGTTCACTTCCATCACGTTATCAAAGAGTATAAAGCTTTGAAGCCAGCCTACAAACACATTATCAAGGACATCACTAAAATAATGGGTAACGGAATGGCTGACTTCTGCCATAAGGTTACCCTGGGCCATCCAGATAATGCCGGCGTCATGACTATAGCCGAGTATGAGCTGTACTGCTATTATGTTGCCGGCTGTGTCGGTGAGGGTCTTACCCGCTTCTTCATCGAAGCGCAACTTTGCAACTCGTCATTACTCGACAACCCAACTTTACCTCGGTCAATGAGTCTCTTTCTGCAGAAGACCAACATCATCCGCGACGTCAGTGAAGATCACGAAGACAATCGTCGGTTCTGGCCCCATCAGATATGGTCTAAGTACGTCAGCAACTTTGCAGATTTGTTCAGGCCAGAGAATCGTGAGGCGGCCATAGAGTGCAGTTCTGAGATGATTCTCAACGCACTTGAGCATGTCAAGGAATGTCTCATTTATCTGGCTGGGTTGAATGAGCAGAGCATCTTCAATTTCTGCGTTGTGCCTCAGTGTATGGCTATTGCGACACTGGAACTATGCTTCAGCAATCCCTCTCTGTTTGAACGGAATGTCAACATCAAGATCAGCAGGGGCGATGCGTGTCAGTTAATGCTCGAGTGCACACAAGGCTTGCCGGGGCTATGTCGTATCTTCAGTCGATATGCACGATGTATCAAAGCCAAAAGCTCTCCAAATGCCACCAAGCTGTTCGAGATTAACAAGATCTGCGGCACGGTATGTTATCCCACCTACCATTTGTAGTGAACGAACATTAACAACCATAGATCGAAGAAGCTGCCAAAACTCTAATTCAATCTCAAGAAGGATAAAACTATCAGTGCATTGTCGCTGAGATGGGGCACGCTATTGATGAATGGCAAGACAAATAACTGTAAATGTATTCAAGAAGCGCACATTAGTAACATGCATGTAGCAGTTATTACATCAGAAAGGCATTATGGAGACCTTAGCCCGGGAGACTCGTTTACAAGTTTACTACAATTTCTCAGAACAGAACGTGAAGACATTGTCCGCATCGCCGATTCTGACCACCATCTGAAAGTCTTTGATCAGTTTTGGGGGAACTGTGCACCAGCCCCAACTATACAGACGCAACTAGCAATGTTTCCACACTGGCAATTTCAGCCTCCCTGTAGGTGTCAGCATAAGCATTCAGAGCTCCAAAGGATTACTTGTATTAGACAATAGCGGATGAAATGACTAGAAGCTCATTGTATTCTAAGGTCCTTAAGGTATTGCATTGTCAAAGTTGGGATTACCACGTCATAATTTGTTCTCCGGTTAACGTATTGTGCTAGCAACGTGTCGCCGCGGCGATGCAAAATATAAAGGGTGACATCTGTTGTGATCCTGAAAACACTAAATCTTTCTTAACAACATACAACTGTGCAGTTCATCATTGACGCCTGCAAACTTCACTGTGAACCTACCTCTGAGCACATGATGGAGCCCATTTTCGATAGCATCGCATACGATCGATTGGCCAAGTCTTACCTACTAAAGATGAACCGAGCTCTCTCAGTGGCGAACGGGGACGGATTTCGGGCCCAGGACCCAGTCACGGAGATCCTCCTCCTGGAAGGCTATCAGAGGCCAGTAGCACCGAAGAAAATGTCCCTTCCAGTCCCGAAAATATCCAAATCCAAGGAAGGATTTAACTCTGAAGCCAATATATTCCTTGGGTTTACAATTCCTCTCGAACTGGCCCATGAAATACTTCGATTCCTGGATCTGAGGTCAATAGGAATGATGCTCCTAGTCAACAGCAAGACCAAGGAGCAGGTGGAAACCATGCTGGATTACCCCGTCCTCAAAACCCATGCGCACGAGACTCTCAATTTGATGCGCCAGATGAAGCTTTCTTCGCACTACACCATCGGACAGATATTTAATGAATTCTGTCAGCCTAAGTGCAGAACGTGCCCAAATTTTGGGCCGTTTCTATACATTCCAACCATGCAGAGATGTTGCTACGAATGCAACTTATACAAGAGTTCGTACGGATTGGGATTTGTGAAGAATATCTGCTACTACTTTGGAATTGAGGAAGAGGACCTGAACGAAGTCCAACTTGTCCACAATATTTGGCTTCATGACCCCCCAGATTGCATGGCAAACATCTCGCAGTGCAAGAACCTTGTATCCAAGCTTTATGGGCCGGAGGAGGCAGAGATACTAGACGCAACTGTCCATAGAATTGAAGGAGAAGGTGTCTATTTATCTGAAGTTGAACCGACGCCATACCAATGACACGGGATTCCTGGGGGCGGATGTTTCTGGAGCGAGAGAAAAAGGAATCGCATGAAGTTCATGGCCACGGTGCCGTTCCCCTACTGGGACAAGCGGGCACAGGCTACAGATGCAGGAGTCTACTGTACCGCTTGCGCTTACTTCTGGAGAGAGGAGGTACTATTCGATGGGCGTGGGCCTTGGGGCTGCGAAGAACCTTGCCCATTAGGCTGGGAATCTTCCTTTCGAGCCTATCGAGAGGCCGATTTACCTCAGCATGTTGAGACGTGTCTAAGCGTCCACGCATTGGAGATGAACCCTGAGCTGCGTCCTCATGATGTTAACTAGTTCATTTCAGATGAGGGGCATCTTTTCTGATATGTGCCGGGAACCAAGAGCCTTCTTTTGGAAATGACTGTGCTCCGGACGATACGCGGGACGGGCTATGGTATCTTTCGACCCCGATGCTCGTGATTCAGGAAGATTACAAGAATCATGCAGATGCGAGGTTTACGACACCGGCATTTGGCTTAGTTGAAGTATTGCGATATCTTTGTCGATTGTGGTGGGTGACATCGTGCGTCGGGATGGTGCTTCCTTGGTAGTAGTTAACGTAATGGATCATATTGACCATTCAACGGCTGTATTTAGATAAATATGACATCGCCACTATCTCTTCAGAGTACTTCCAGGGTAAAAAGAGATCAACATAATCTAGCCACCCAGGCACATCATTAAAATGCCGATACGCCCTTTCATACTCCCAATATTCTGGATACCACCCGGAATGCTCCCAGTCCAGAATACCGGTAACATGGCCATCTTTGACCAGTATATTCCTGGGGGCCAAGTCACTGTGGGTGAAGACAATCTCATGGTTCTCTTTGAATACCCTTGCTGCATGGTACTTGAACGCATCGGGAACCTTGGATATGATCTTGGAGAACATAAATTGATTAAACTCGCGTTCTGTGCCGAACGGACCACCACCATGGAAAACATGTTGACCAATCACTGCCTGGCCACGGTCTGCAGCTCCAATGTAGTTACCTTTCAGTGATCGCATTTCGTGTACGTATTTAAGAAGGTCTTCTGCCACCGATCGCTTTTCGACTTGAGTCATAGTACTCCATGCTTCGTCCAATGGCGTTCCTGGCATATAGTCCATGTGTATTTTAAGGACCTTGCCATCCTGGTCGGTTTCAATCTTGTGAACTTCAGGAACAGGAATGCTGGTATGCTCAGCGATAAACCTCATGTTGTTCACTTCATGACCGTACAGCGTGGCCCCTGATTTTATTACTTGATTGTTCTGGACTTGAATTGTTCGGGATCCTAAGGAAGAAATGATGCGTGGCTCTTACGTTGGTTAGTATATAGTGTCGTATCTCTCCCTCGGGGATCTTACTATCTTTTGGAGCCGGTTTTGCCGAGCTCTTGAGCCAGAAAAACGACATTTCGAGGGCGCCAGCACCAAATCAACGCTGATACGCTGGACAACCACCGGGTATAAAGGGAGATGAATAGGCAATGATGTACTGATCATCTGCAGTGTAAAAGCATAGTCGTTGTGGGGGGAGGAGGCTAGAACGGACCCGTATGGGCCACTAGAAAAAGAATCTCATTTGATTTATGGATATGCATGTAAGCCAGGAGATGAGCTAGCTACGTTAGTCTGATGGACAATGTTGGTGTCGCATTCCGGAAGCACTCCTTCGCCAGGCAGCGGGATGCGATCGGATTCCCTACCGGGGACAGGAAGAAAGTTATTCCGGCAAATATCAACCACTTGGACCCCCTTTTCCGCTGCAAGCGCAGGCGTCATTCTTGTGCGGGGTAAAACAAAAGAGATAAGAAGGCGATGATGGTCTGCTTCTGCTCCTTGCTGGAGCATTTGCCATATTGCTCATTTTGGTTGTACCGCATTGAACAGGATGTCAGTCAAACTATCTATTGCGGTGTTTGTTGGGGACCCGTTGGATTATACCAAAAAGCGACACACCGCTATTCACGTGGCGTTCGCGGACGGTGACCAGAGTCTGCTGCATATCGTTGGAGCACATGGGTTCTTTGAGTTTGAAGACAGTGTTGGGAAGGACCCTCAGGCCAGTGCTAAACTCGCAACCCTAATCGAAGTCCCCACAACTTCGAAGTCGCTCTCGAAACAGGATATCAAGCGTGCCTGCGAACAAACGCGAATCGAAAATAGCCCTGGAAATCATGACTGGAACTGTCAAAATTGGGTCGGAGATGCCCTTGGAAGTCTGGTTCAAACTGGCCTCTTAACCGTCCAAGCGCGTGATCATGCGATTGACCAGATGGCAGAAGCTTGCGTCGAGGCAACTGATGGGTAGTTCGCCTGTAGGTTGTATAATTTGCTCTGAACTCGGCTTATGCTGAAGAAAATTTAGATTTGAACGTCTTATTGGAATAGGTAGAATGGCTCACTATCACCATCACCATTTGTAGGAGAACGGTCTACTATTCCCATCCCGCCCCCTTACTGCGGAAGCTTCAAAGTTGTCTGGCGTAAAGACAAGAGCAAATTCTCTTATAATACCCACTCTACTGGTTAGCTGTCTTCAATCAGTGCCATTCCAACGTCTGAATCTGTACTGGATGTTCAAAGTAGCTCAAAAAAGCTCAATTGTGCCCCATCAATGAAATTACGCCGTCGATGTATACTTCCAAAAACCACATCCCTTATAGAAGTTCGGACCCATTGACCGTCCTCCATGATACGCTCGTTGTCCCTGTCAGATTCTGAGATAACCTTTCCCTGGCCGTAAACTTTGGTGAAAGAGCAGCGGTTGAACTCATTGTTACCATATCCCCTGCGTCCCGTCGATCAACCTTATGTGTTGGGCCACTGTGATTGCGTCTCTCTACTCCGACGTCTGAAATCGTTCTGAATGAGGGTGGGCAGGAATAGTAGATTTTATTAGACGCACTGCTGTGAGATATCAGGATGGTAAATTGAAAAGTGTGTACCTAAGAAGCCCATATTATAGATAAGATTGAAGAATATTTTCATCAAGTAATTGTATAGGGGTGTCAGCATAACAGACCTGAATGAGTGCTTCCTATGTCCTCGCGAGCATCTTACTAGGGAAAGATCACGTAACTCGGTCAGTATTCATATGGTCCATACTAACAGCATCTCAGCCTCCCTTATCAAGCCAAATATGAAACATGGGTCAACGGTGGCTGTTTATCGCAGTCAACAGTGCTTCGTGAATAGCATATTAGCCTAACGTAGATGCTGGCAGGGAAAGTCGAAAATCTCTATAAGCCATCCCCCATTGTACAATAAAATCTGCATTCAGCACTAGTCAATCAAGTATTGACGGTATTGTGTAGCAATACCATTTCACAGGTTGGATTTGGGTCCAAGTTGTTGTTTGAGGTTGCACATGCTGGTGCTACCATAGTGTTGCCGCGACGATTAATGGCACAAAATTTCACTCACGGTGTGATCTGGAGAGTCCCTTGACACTCCTGCCATCACAAAACTGTGCACCCTACATGTGTGCATCCTCCGTGTCGACTTTAAACCTTGGTATGGACTTGTTCTCCATCTCACCTGATATAACATCATCAATATAATCTAACTCACTCTGTCAATCCAGTCTACTATTCGTTAAAGTCTCATATCTCACATCATGGCATCCGGCTTTGCTTACCGGATCGAGAACCCGATCAGCAAGGTCTTTGGGTTTTCCAAGTATCAGAAGCCACAACCCCCGCAGCCAACAGTTGAGAATATCTTGTCAAAGGACAACAGACAATCAAATGCTGGTCTCAATCTCTTTCTTGGTTATTTTCTTCCCCTTGAACTTATCCATCACATCCTTCTCTATTTGGACGTGGCTAGCCTGGGCAACCTGCTTCTGGTCGATGCAGTATCAGAATCTCAAGCTCTATCACTCCGTCCATATCGGTTGCTCAGAGAAAAGGCGTTTGAAACACTGCATCTGATGGACAAGATGTGTCTCTCTCACCATTACACCACTGAACAGCTCTATAACGAGTTTACTCAACCTTTGTGTCGAACCTGCCATGATTTCGGACCATACCTCCACCTTCCAACACTCAAGCGCTGCTGTTACAACTGCAATTATCACAATCCATTGTACAGGATCGCCCGCGTGAAGGACATCTGTTTTTACTTCGATCTGAAGGAGACAGACCTCGGGGCTATTCCGATTGTCCACAGTGTGTGGGAACCTGGGGTCCGTCTGGCAAGCGTCTCCCAAAGTGATGCGATAGCTGTGCTACTCCACGGGCTCGAAGGATCACAGAGCAAAACACATGAAGCACGTCGTACCATGAAGAGAGAATTTGCGACTTTCTCGGAATGGGAACCCCGGAGGTCTACATCTATTAGACGTCCGCTCGCTCGTCCTCCACTCAATCCTCGTCCGAGCGTGACTGTTTGGTATGAAGGCGACTGCCACCAATTACAATTCATGGCTACCGCTCCACTCCCTTATTGGGATAATGAAACCAAAACCTTGGAGTCTGGAACATACTGTCGGGCTTGTTATCACGATTATAACCACTGGCCAAAGGTCGATAGATCTGATGAAGATGAGTGTTACAGTAGGCGGGCTTATCATCGGTCGTATCAAGAGGTGGATCTTCCGGAGCACTTTCGAACGTGTGCTGCCCTTATTGCTTCTTGGCAACCGAGACGGGCTTATTCCCGTGTTCGCCGTGGCGACGAGTACAGCTGTCAAAACGTGGAGAATCAATTTTGGGTTGAATACCCGGAGCCCAACTATGAACCTCGACGGGCGCTCTCTCCTGATCCTAATTTCATCTTCGAAGACCCATTCAGAGGAGGCATGTTGATTAATCATAATCCGAACTCCCACGAGACGACATTGCGAGAACAGGAACTGGAGGAGACGATGTCACCGCCATGAAATTCGAACACGCAAACCATAGTATGGACATTCTGGAGTTATCAGAGGGATAGCTAGTCGGTCCCCATGGATCTTTGCATACATAGTGTTAGCTACAGTGCGTGCACACTACCACAATCCAATGCTGGTTGTCTTCTCAGACTAGTTAATAATAAGATGTAGCAGTTCAGTATGGATTCTTAGCTTGTTTCGTTTTCCTCTTGTATCAAACCTTTGGAAGCAAGTCAAGGCCAGGTATATCTGGTAATTCTGCATGTTGACAGTGAGATGTCCAAGCTAGCGAGAGCTACTGGATGAGTAACAGACACAGCAGAAGTATGAATTCTGGACTGCTTGTATTCTTTGGTATGATATTCTGTCTGCTCATGGCTGACAACATCCCGGATAATTGACTTGTTGTCACCGGCATACAGAAATCCATACCGCAAGGTTCGAACGCAGCAATTGATCGTTCTTAATATTGCTTCGGTTCACTTGGAATACCAACATATTCTCGACGTTTCCAAAGCCTGGGATAAAAGATCAGGGTTGAGCACGCTGGTTACTATCTAATGGATTCTTTTGATAACCTTTCAGAATGGACACACTTGTCTACATTTGGTTCTCTGTCATCTACCATCAATTCAATTCCATAATGGCTAGCGAACCACCTCCAAAATTTAGTACCACTCAAATTCCTTCCGCGACAAAGTCAAGGTGATTATCATCATATCAACATGTTCCCCAAAGCCATGCGAAAAATGGCACTCCACCAAAATTCCGGAAAGTCGCAATACGAAGGCAACCCGAGAACATAGATCACCGCACATGCTTCGAGACGCATTCATCAGACAGGATATCTAAGGCGTGATGTGCCACAGAGGTCACAAGGTATACTATCTGTCCCTACTAGAACTGTCTCCCGCAAGGGATTACCAGCCACAGTGGGATGGCGGTGATCGCCCCTCTTTAGGCTGGCATTCCTGTCCTCAGTGTGGATTAAAAGAAGTGATTGTCACCCACATCATGAAGCATCCACAAAGGTTGACAAAGAGAAACCCTTCATGACCCACTTCACCGAGTTCGGTCTGCCGAACCACACACCCTCCGGTATTCCACACCAGTTCTACATCTGCCGTAAACTTTCTCCACCGGATCATCCATGGTGGGGATATTAGGTTCCCGACCAACCTTGAGTCAAGACTAAGCGAACCATTAAACACAAACCAGAATTCGGTTCACCTGCTTCACCGTGATGTAATTCACTAATTTTCTTGGGGCACCAAAGCTGTGGAATGTAAGGTGTCTACGCTGTGTCTGGATTAGTTCCGCATCAACAGTACCAGTACCAATACCATCCCTTGAACAGCCTCATACCACTTTTACCTATCTCGAATTTCTGATGATTATCTAGAACTGCCAAGAATTGATCCACAGCTATCCGCCTCATCCAGTGGATTCCCTCCTCACGTGTGTCAAATCCTCACTTCTCTTCTGGCACCCAAAGCCCATCTCAATCACCAAGCCACCCCAATTGTAGCATACAAACCATTTATCCACCAACATGGATCCCTCCCCTCTCTCCAACCGAGCCCGCACAGTCGTCTCCTCATCCAACAACCTGATGTGGGACATCCTCAAGAACCCATGGTGTCCTACAACCAAACCCGACGGCTACGTGAACGTAGGGGTTGCCGAAAACGCACTGATGCATGACAACCTGCTGGAATACATCAACACCACGAAGCTCACCCTCCCAGCCAAATACCTCACCTATAACGATGGTGCTATTGGTGCAGAGCGCCTTCGACGCGCCATGGTATCATTCCTCAACAAACATCTTCAACCATTCAAACCACTGACCATCGACGACCTCCTCGTCACGAACGGTGTCTCCTCCGCCATTGAGCACATCTCGTGGGCCTTCACCGACCCCGGCGAAGGTATCCTCCTAGGCAGACCCTACTACGGCACCTTCATCCCAGACATGTCCCTCCGCCCCGGGGCGACAGTCGTCCCTGTAGAATTTGACGACTGTGACCCATTCAGTCTGCAAGCCGTGGACTGCTATGAGCGCGCACTACTCAAGTTTCAACAAAACACCGGCCGGAAAGTCCGCGCCTTGATGCTCTGCCATCCACATAATCCGTTGGGTCGGTGCTACCCCCGGGAAACTATCATTTTTCTGATGCGGCTGTGTCAGAAATATCAGATTCATTTGATCAGCGATGAGATATATGCACTGTCTGTGTGGGAGAACACCGTTGACGGACATATCCCCGTGCTCTTTGAATCCGCCCTGTCCATCAACACAACTGGCGTTATCGATCCTAGTCTAGTCCATGCACTGTGGGGAATGAGCAAGGATTTCGGCGCCAATGGTATTCGACTCGGGGTAATCATCTCTCAAAATAACCCCACTCTGCACAAGGCGTTGCAGGGTGTTTCGCTGTATAGTTATTCCTCGTCTGTTTCGGAACACGTCGCAGCTACGGTCCTTGAAGATACGGAATTTACTACGAGGTATATCCAGCTTAATCGGCAGAGGATGTCCGAGTCATATGCGTTTGCTGTTCAGCGGCTCAGGGAAAATGGGATCGAATATGCTCCGGGGGTTAATGCTGCGTTCTTCCTCTGGGTTAATCTAGGTAAGAGGTATCGTGAGTTACACCCCGAGCAGACTGCAGATTTGGGTGACGCGATCAGCGACAAGGTGATGCAGCTTCTGCTTCAGAGGAAGGTCTTT